AGTATTCTTAGTTTCTTCGATGTGTCTAACAAAGCGATTCACTTATTAGCCCCATTCAATGGTGCGCACAATGGCCAAGAGACAAGTTTTATCCATAAATCGCAACGTTTGAGTTTTGCAATGTGCATAAGACGACAAGCCGGCTACTTTGCTCTCACTCTTTCTCTGGTTGTGTAATATTCTCATTATCATGCAATTTTCACTTCCATGGCATGACTACAGGCGAGACGGAAAAAGAGCGCGACGTGAGAGGATAAAAAACGCAGCAAATTAATAATAGAGCAAGAATAATGGACGATATGAATGAATGGGACAATAATTAAAAGTGAATGAAGGCCCTGGCAACAATAACAAATCACTGCTATGATTTATTAGTTATGCGCAATGCGCGAAAGGCGAATAAAAATTTGTTACACTTTTGTTTGGTTTTGGATTTGCATTTGGGCAGATTGCTTCAGTAGTGTAGTTTTGTACGTTTCATCTCGCATCACTAATTTAATGAAAAAATTGTATGTTTCTAATGTGAAAATAATTCAATCAAAATCGTGAATGTAAATCTATGATGTTTGACATCTCCTTCGTATATCTGCTGTATTTTTCATTTGAAATAAAATTATTTTACATTTTTTATTCCAATGTATTTGCTTTATGTTTATTTATTACTACTTTCAGTATAGATATTTCACTATTTTTGCAGGTGCTGAAAACGTAAACAAAGAATTTTCGAAAGTTTCATGCATATCTATATGTTAGTATTATTGTTGTTGATCTTATTATACAAAATTGTTCTCTATTTTTCTCATGCATAAGAATACTTGACTTATCATTAAAACAGGTTCGCTTGCTTGCTCTTCTTCAATAGCAAATAATAATTGATCATGCTTCATATCGAATGTTTACGGAGAAGAAGAAAACGAAAACAAATAACAAACAATATGGTAACTAATTATACTGATTTTCGCGACTGTTGATGAGAGAGAAAGAGAGAGAGTGAGTGAGTGAATGAATGAAAAAAAAAATCAATTTTATTCATTTTCTGGTTTGCAAGAATGAGAAATACAGTGCGATTGAGTAAGTGAGTGCGAGAGAGAGAGAGTGTGGTAGGCTACCGTCACTTGCTTTCTATATAGACTGTATATTTTTTTTGAGCTTCGCGTTCCCATCTCTACGTGCACCTGAAAATTAGAACAAAAAGTATGTGTAGAATGTTTGTATAATGCAAAACCATGTGTTGTGCAACGTCCTCGCAAATTATTTCGATGGCACAAACTGTGCAAAGTAATTTTAATTTATTTTCCATCACAAATTCACTAGATGCAAACAATAAATCGGTTTTTGTTCAGAGCGTAGAATGACAGATGTCACAACAAATGATTCCATATTCAAACTTCGAATCAATCAATATTCTACACATACTTTTTGTTCTAATTTTCATGTGCACGTAGAGATGGCGCCATCATGCAGTTTTTGACATTATTTGCCATTGTAAGTAATGGTAGGTGGTAGGCCATATTGACAGTTTGTTACTTCTAGCATTTCTACCGATACACTACAGAAATATATCTTACGCATGAAATTCAAAACCGAAATATTCTCATGGATTGCAACATATTTCATTTACTCTCAGTCTTTGTTTCCCTCTCTATCTCTCTCATTCTGTTTTCCTTTGATTTTTTCTACTTTTACTATGTATTTCTCTTCTCTGTCTCTTCCTCTCCCCCTCTCATTTCTTCATTCTTTCACTCATTGTATTTGATAAAAATGAGTTGAATGCCATGATTGTTGCAAATGCAGAGCAAAATAGACATTGTCCGAAAATTCCATAGAATTCTCTTATTATTACAATTCGAATCATTTCAGTCAATATTGATCCTTTCACATTGCTCAACAATAATCGATCCATATTGTTCAATGTCCGTTTTCTTGTCGATTTTATACAAACAATCCGTTTCAAACAGGAAACGACACATTTCTATGATGCGACACAAACAATATGTACTTTTTCTTTTGCAACATTCTACGGAGCATCTCTACTCTTTTACTTCTCCGTTCAATGCATGGGAAGAGTAAACAAATCATTTTTTATTATAATCGAATAGTTTTTTTTTACAAAAAAGAATAGAAATTCAATTATAGAAAGCAAGTCATGAATTGAAACGTACTTCCAACAAGCTAAAAAAAATCGTTGAACTCTCTCAAAAAATTGTTTACTGCATCTAGGTAGCTAAATTGTTCAGGAATGAGAGAGAAGCTGATAAAAAACAGACAAAATACACCTTATTTATCAAAACAGCAAACGAACAAAAAGATTGAATCAAATTGGACAAAATATGACCATTTGTGAATGAAATAAAGAGTCTTACGGGAGTAAGACGAACTTTTCCGCACGGTGGTAGTTGCGTATTTTATTAAGCTAGATCGAAATAATATTTATTCGATTTTTCAAGCCTTTCAAGCGGCGTAAAATTCGAGACCAAAAAATATATTCAAACCATGGCATAGAAATATTCTTTAATTTAATAGCAGAAGTACTCGCAAAAGATTTTTCACACTTTCATGATGAACCCATTTGTACGACATTTGAAAGAATTCTATTTTCTATAAAACACTATAAAAAATATGTCTGACGTTAATTTTGCCATAAAGATTATTTTTGAAACACTTCTCATAACTAAAGTCACAAAAAATTTGGATTTTTGTATGGGAGCCATGTCTGTATGCTACCTTAATGGCGTGAAACTTTGCACAGGGTATTTTTTTACCATACAGAATATTCGTTTTTGAGCCAAAAAACTATATTAAAAATTGATAGTATCTCAAAACTTATCTCGGATTCAGTTTTCTCGTGCTAAAAAACCCCCCAATACATATTTTTGAGTGTTTAAGTCTACATTACAAATACGGGTTATAGTGCCACTTTTTTGGGGAAAAAAATTATCAAACACGTTAGATGGCGTTAGTTTAAATGTAAATTTCTATGTACATACGGTGGCGCCGCCCTACACCAAAAATTACTGAACTATACAGTAAGGTACTATTGCTACATTAAGTATGACTTTTGGACGAAAATTGGACTCTTTTTCATAGGTTTTTCACTCCAGGCATGACATTTTTGTCCATCAACCAAAGTCGCTCAAAATCTAATAATTTCTATTCCTCGCGACATCCAATCATCCTGTACAGTCAGATTTTAAATAACTTTTCGGGGGGTGAGATAATCGATGGAGACAACGTACGACGTGGAACAGACCCACAACAAACATGCTCAAAACGGCCTGATTCGGGTTCTCTGACCTCAGAAACGTCCAAAAAACATGTTTTTGAATTGTCGTAAATTTTGACCCATTTCAATACTTTCCCCTTACACACTAGGTGTGTGCGGAAAAGTAAAAGGAAAAAAAAAACGTTCAATTTGATGAGAAAATGCCAAAATGCTAAAAAAAAGATTTGGTGACAAAGAATGAAGATTCGATAGTACAGAAAAGATACTTAACGTTTTGGTAAAACTTTGGAATTGTGAGCAATTTCATGAGAAATCAGGAAACACCGAAGATCGCAAATTGAAAGAGGATGAAATAGAATAGATCAAACAGGTCAAAAGGAGTACTGATAAGAACAATATTTCTTCAAGAAATACAGTAGTAAAACCAATTGATGTATGAGAGAATGAAATTGCGGTGCGTATCAAAAGAAACTCAAATTGATTTTTAAATTTTTGAAAAACTCCGGATAAGATCTAAAAAATACAGAGAGAAAAAAATCGTTGGTGATCCAAAATAGGAAAAATTTCAACTTGAACTCGACAAATGTGTCGAAAAATGTTGCAAAACAGGGATCATTTGTCGAAAATCGTAAAGTAAAACAAAGTCCTCAGAAAGAATGGAGCGATAAAAGAGCAAAAAGAAGAGAAAAACTCTATCAAGAGCTAATTGTCAGTAAATTTGTTAAAACGAACTAAGAAAACTGTTTTTTCAAATCTCTTTCCAACGAGTTCAATCCGTTTCGTTTAACGTAAATCGAACACTTTTCATAATAGTAGTTAATGATCTGCATTGTATTCGACCAAAAACACCAGACAGTTGCAGTCGATACATTCCTATTGTTGCGATGGATTTCATTTAGCTTATCCAATGGAATCTCATTGTGGATTATTCGATTGGATCTCATTTCAAATTGTTGAATATGCTCGCCACACACATGCACGCGTAAAAATGGACTACGAACAAAAAAAAAACGCGTATATTTTCTGGTCGAGCGCAACCTACTGTGTTATAAATAATGAATTTTGGTTAACTGCGTTGTGTTCAATTTCAAGTGGCCACTCGAATAACAAACGAATTACGAGTCACTCAACGTGCATATGAATATAAATCGAAAATGAGCCATTTTATCTGCATTTCAAAGAAAAAAGAAGATTCTGGCACACAAGGCTCAATGTTCTCGAGTACCATCCAAAGGAAGCGCGTTTGCAATCGATCCTAGTACTTTAGAAATTGGTTTGCACACATCAAAAGACAAAACATGGAACGGGTGTTAGATGCGAGCGGGAGAGAACGAGAGCAAGAGAGACGGCAAACACAATTGTTGCTCTAGTTTGTAAGAAGCAGCGATGTCATCGTCATCGTCGCCGTTGGTCGTCTTCGTGCATACATATAGCTAAAGAAAGCAACAGATAAAACAAGAACCATCTCTGTTGATACCCTCTTGAATATGCGAATCGCCTTTCGCATTTTACTTTCGAATGCGATGTGCAACAAGGGTGCATTACTACCTTGGTAGACGTATTGCTGCCGTTGTCGTTGCGTTTTCGATAGTGTGCGTGTGTGTGTATGTGTATGCCTGGCTTGAGCCTTTGCACTGCGTACATATAATTCTTGTTCTGTAACGGCAGCAACAGAACAGCGTTCCGCAACGACAACGATGACGACGAAAATGCCGAGGAAGGGAAACATACAACAGTCACCCGTGTTATAGACGGCAAACACATCACTACCAACGATCATATGAGAAAAGTCTATCGACGAGAACGGACGTACTTTTTGTGTCGCTCGGTCTCTAAAACATTTTTTTTCAACGTTAGTACACGCGCAATTTTTGAAAAAGGTTAACACACACATCCAGTGAAGAAATACAGTGTATGTTAAAAGAGACGTTACAAAGTTTTTCAAGTAAAAAAGTGAACGAACAAAAAGGAACCCAGAAAAGTGTAGTGTGAATTACCAACATATCACTTTTGGATTATTATCGATATTTTTTCAATGGATTTTATAGAGACTTGTGCAACAAAAGTTGGAATCTATCTTACAAAGAGTTGGTGATAGTTTTTGTGCAAAAAAAAGAATAAAAAAAAGTTCGCTTGGGAATACATCAAAGGACGAGAATATTGAAAAGATTGGAAATATTGTGAAAAGTTGAAGAAAAAGACAGTTTTAATTAATCTATTTCGATCAAACGGAACAATTGAACAAACGGATAAAATAAAAAAAAAAAACATTCCCTGGAGAAAATCCAAAGAAACTAAAGTGAAGCTTTGAAAAACATTAAAAGTGAAATTCCCCAATTGCATTTATTATGGGATTAATTTGACTTTCGACATCATCGGAGAATAGAATTGGATCCAAAAATCATATCTCATCAGCCATTTGTCAGCTTCATCTGCTAAAGTAAGTACAGACATCGGTTAGTTTTGATCTTAATAATAAGATATTTGTGAATGATTTTACGCATGCTCTGTAAAGTTTTCTTTTTGTTGCAAAATAACCTCGAACTGAAATGAATATAAAATATAGTGAATGTGTTCTTTTTACCGGATTGTATGTGTTGTGTGTTGGAGCGGAAGTAGTGTGGCGGAACCGCAGCAAAAATAAAAAAAATGTGATAAGAACTACTTCGAGCTCATTGACTTCGAGCACGCAAAATGGCAAGCATAAAAAAGCATGTCGAGCACCTCTCTTACCCTTCGTCTCAATCAACCTTCCGCTTATTTGTTAAATTGCGATAAGTGTATGCAGTATTATTCGCAAGCATGAACCAATTAAAAAAAAAAAAAATATGCTGACCACTCTGCTTGTCTGGATTTTATGTTCATCAGTGAGATCGATTGTGTCGCGCGCGTTCCTTCTTTCTCTCTCTTCAAAGTACCATCATGTTTTTCTGTCAATTGTTAACTCCCGATGCCTTTTGTGTTTACTTCCATTCACTTAATCGATGGAGGTACACTCACAATCGATTTTGCTTTCAGAAAAAATATATAAATAATAACAACAATGTCGACAACACTGGTGCACATACACACTCAAACCGAATCGGACACATTTTTTTCGCAAATGCACACGGGTACTCTTCGTTTATTCGCTTTAAATACGTTCCACCATTTCGAAATGCTTGAATAACAATATAATTAAACGTAATAAAAGCCCGTCAGAATGTAAAGAATAGAAACATAAAATAGATGTATGTGCGTGTACAACAACAACCACCAGATGAACAACACTCTGAACAAACAAAAGACCGATCATCAAGTCCTTTCGATTGATTTTCGATCATAAAAATCATTTTTTCGTCTTTCTTTTCGTTTAACGAAAAGGTCTTTGGAAGAATTTGCAGCCAATAAAAATCGCCCCTCACGCTAATGACTATCGATATCCGCGTATATATGTACTGACCTCACTGTATCGGCTCTTAACATTCAATGCAATGAACCAAATCGAATTGACTTTTGTTCATAATCTAACGTGCCGATTTTTACGATCGATCTCTCATCTGTTACGCGCCCCAAAAATCATTCGTTTCGTGTTTGTTTTATGACCCAGTGGAAAATCAATAGCTGATGATCATTGCCCGTGAATCAATAAAAATTCCAACAACCATGGTTCACATTTTCAATCGGCATAGATAAATTCAAAGACTACCAAGTAGATTTATGAATTTTCCATAAAGAACACTATAATGTTCTTCATAAAGGCGAACATTTTGAACTCCATGCAATTTTAAATGATTTCGAACTTAAATTTACTAACGGTCACGAATTTTCAAGGATTTTAATGTTTATTAACTTTTAAAATGTTTATTACATAGAATCTTTTCTATTTTTGAACTTTGTCTCATACTTGCAAGAGTCATTCGAAATATTTTACAATTGTCAAAAACATAAAAGACAGCTAGAATAAAATACGATCGATATCGTGTTTTTTTCCTTTAACAATAGTCGAACTACATTTTCTTTTAAATTTTTGTTATAAAAATAAGAATGAATTCGGGATCGAAAAAAAAAAAACAAAATCCTCAAAAAAAGGTGAAGCGTAATCATTTGATATATATTCAGAAGGAGTTCATTTGAATTTTTTGGAATGGAAAGAAAACGTGTTCTTTAAGTTTACCAGCATGCAGCTGCAATGGTTCAAATATTTTTTTTTTTTTTTTTTGAAGAAATTTTTTTTTTTGTTTCACTTTCATGCGACATCGAACGCGGTTTTGAACGTCTTCACCACGTATGTATCACAATCATAAATTAATGTGCGGGCTGCGGTTTTGAGCCGAACGACATTGTATCACAACAACCAATATTTAACTTTGTCAAACGTTTTTCAATTTCTGTCGCATTGAAGGTGGAAGTGAAATTCCCTTGAATGGAATAATTGCAAATGCACCAATAGTTTCTTGGCCTTTACTAAACACTCGCACCCGCTTCTTTGTTTCAACCAAGAAAAATGTAAATAGAATTTCTAATTCACCACCTGTCTGTGGTAAAACGATATAAGTCCAAAGACCCATGGAAGAAGATTCAATTTCAAACATTTGGAATTAATAAAAAAAATGATCGTTCAATTTTGGTTGTAAATTTTTCTGATTAAAATTAACGCCATTATAGAATAAAACTTCATTTCGTACCAATCGAAGGTTAAATAGAGAAAAAAAAAGTTTAAAGATCATTCAACAATAAACAGTCTAGACGAAAAATTCTAAATAATAAAATAATACAATGGCGATTTTCCGCCAGCTCATCATTTGAATTCATTTTCCAAACAAAAATGGGGCGTCATTCAAACACAGTTGGCTATTCGATTGCACAAAAGCCGAATGTGTCAAAACATATCAAAAATAGTCGATATACACAATAACGATGCTAATTATAAATTGTGAGTGGATTTTTGGTGAAAATCTCAAACAAATCATTATACCATCATCGATAGTGGATGGACAAACGGTTTTTCATGGAATTAATAGAGGCGAGCGCGGGTCCCTGATCTAAATTTAATGAGCATGAGTGGTCATTTTGGAAAGTAAAAAATCGGATTTGCAATTTTATGGAAACAAACAATAGGCCTAGAGTTTTGCATTGGACCACCATTAGCAAAAACGGTTGGTGTTACATATGCACGTGGTGCATGATGCGACCTTTTCACCTCGTTAATGTAGTAGTTATCGCATTTGCATTGCGCGTCCACACACATACGCTCGCACAATAGACTTAGTGGCAATAAATAATGTCGCAGCTAATAAATTCATTAAAGCGAATCGACAACGACAATGGCCGAGAAATATGATACGACAACTGGCGTTTGGTCGATGGTGACAATAAGTTGCCCTATTTTGTGTATTAAATAACAATCAATTGGTTTAGAGATTTTGTTTGCTCTGCTTTTTTCTACCCTCCCGCTCTTTTTCGATTCAAAGCACTTTCAAGTGTCTTTTGTGTTTCGTGAAAAGTAAAATTACCGTAATTTCGACAACAGAGAATTGAAAGCGCGTTCTCTTTGTGGTTTTGATTTGATCATTAGTGGCATTATCATTTTTCACGCGTTATATTGAAAATCATGTAATTTCTGTCCAGTTTTTTTTTCTTCTTTCATTTTTCAAACACCTTTCAATTTTTGCGCAACTGGTTCTATCCCTTTTATGATTGTGGTTTTTAACTATTGTAATTAAAATGTCTTTCACACCCCAGCTAATCAAAGTGCTGACTTTGCACATTTTTTTACTCATTTCTCTCTCACTCTCTCGAACACGAACACACACACACGTCCATTTAATTGAGTTAAGCGAACGAGAGAGTTGATTCAATTTACACAATCATTGCTGTTTTTTTTTCGTAACGGCATAATGTGGTTTCACCCGTTTGACCATAGCCGTATATCGATAATTACATCGAAGAACACCACCAACAGAATAAAAAAACGTGATAACAATCTCCGAGCAAACTGTTAATGTTGACTAGTTTTTGTGACTCTAAATTTTGGGCACAGGTTTTGTGTGCCATACCGAACAGGACTTTTTTATTTACAATTTTCATTGAGAAAACCAGACAAAATCATTAAATTTTGTGTTTTTTTGTGTTTAGAAATGAAACATATGCTTTCAATCAAACATGTATGACGAAGAACAACTGCAACAACATTCATTAAGCAACGATGAGGACGTACATATGGATGTTTATGACCCCTTATTTCCTATTTCCACTACTATTACCACACACACACACTCCGGCCAGCATAAAACTTCAATTGTTGTTGCACTCTCACTCTCACTCAATTCCATTCAATCGTCAGTTTTTCCTGTTCGTTTGAAATTGGTTGATTACATCTTTCGTTATTATAATTTTATTAGTGATTTTTTTGTCATTGTGCCGTTTTTTGACGAAATCGGGGGAAAATGACAACAAAAAATATTTTTTCGCCAAAAATTCGGCATCAATCTGTCGAAATATTGTCATGACATGATAAATTTGATAATAAAAAAAAATATATGCTGGCCAATTATTTTATTAGAGCCATTTTTCGTTATAGCCTTTACCACACACGCGTGCCTGAACACTCGATTTTAACGGGGATTTCAATAAAAAAAACGGGAATTTTTTTCTTCACAAAACAGCTGCACGCACAAATTATGATTTTCTAAACACTTGGCAATTCAAGTAATGTTAACAGCCATTTTCAAATTGCATGAAGTACACCGAAGAATGCGCGTCATAAATTGTGAAAAAAAAACACGAACAGTCCTTTCGTTCAAAAGTTAACATTAATGCCGTGCTAATGTTGGCAAGAAATCATGTTAAATGTTGCAGAATTAATCATGTTGATTTAAATAAATAGCATTGACTACCTTTTCTTCGGATGCGAACATGAATATATTAAAAATCGAAAAATGCATTTGAATAAATTCCTCATTGTGGTAATGCGTGCACACGCAATCGCTTCTGTTCTTTCCGCTGTTCGCGCTGAATTCAATCGACATTTTTCTCGGTTTTGTTTTTTCGGGCGAGTTAAACGATAAAAATGACATCTAAATTGCATTCACTGGTTGAATGAATCTGTGTTACACAGTGATGTCGCTAACGGCAAAGGGTCAAAGTTTAATGTGTACAACGGATTTAGCATGCTATTGCATTGGCTACTCTGTCGAATTTGATGTGTATAACTCCTGGTTCGTACACCATGATAACACATTTGAAAATTGTTTCATCATTTCGAAGTTGACAGACGAGTGACAGGGCCGTCGTCAACTAGATTTCGAAATCGCACATCATTGCCCTACAACAATACACTGTTGTCCTGTATTCCGTTTTTTTGACTGCTTTTACCTTGTTGCTGTCACTTTTCATTCAATTTTGCAGTTGAATAAAAAAATCGCTCACTCACCCGGTTCTATGTCTCGTTTGCTATTT